GTGCAATCACGTTACTTTAAAATCTAACACATACTATATATCCCCCCTCCCCCCTAAGACATTCATACCTTTTTCATTGAGCTCATACGTCTGAATGATATGCTGAGCTTGTTGCAAGCTTATTTCTTCACCCTGGTCATGCAAAAAGTCCTGCAGTTCCTCAGCAGAAAGTACACAGTCCTCGCCTGAATATTGGTGGAAGATGTCCTCCAGCTCAGGCCGTTTCATTAGTCGTGTACAGAACTCCTCAATCTCATATTCTTCCAAGCGGTCATTGTTTGATTTGTCACATTCCTGATAAAAGAGAGGCAGAGGAATAAATGAACTGCAATGAAAACTCTATCAGAGACACCTGATTAGCAACTGAATGTCCAACATGGGAAAGGGTGACTTTCAGACTTTCCCAGCCTGGCAACTTTCAGATGCACTGATACCATAATTCCACAATTTCCGAGTAAGACAGCTGACAGGAATTACCAGGATTTCCCAAATTGATGTGCTTCAGATATGCTTTGCAGACCCAATATGTCTAAAGTATAACAGTTTACACTACACTAAGAGCTACATGCTTTTCCCCCTTTACACAGCAATTAAAACAGGCAATTAAAAGCAAATCACATCTGCATAACATACATTGCTTAGACTGCAGCAACAGAAAAATACATGAAATTACAAAAAGCATTAAAAACTACTTAATTTGGAGTGAAATATAGTAAGTATTGTAGCCTGGGGCCGATGTTCTGTATTATTTATTATCAAAAGTTAGATTAAAGGAGAACATAAGAGACTTTTGAACAAACACTTTTTTGCAGAGCTTTGGAGTTAATAACCCTGCAAGACTGAACGATCTACAACACAGTGATGGGATTCAATTTTTTAAACTAGCGGTTCTGTGGTGGGCGTAGCAGGGGAAGGATACTGTAAAATCTTCATTCCCTCCCCACTCCAGGGGAAGGTTACTGCAAAATCCCAATTTCCTCCCAATCAACCGGGATTCTGGAAGTAGAGAATGGATGGGGGTGGGACCAGTCAGAGGTGGTATTTACCCGTTCTCCGAACTACTCAAAATTTTTGTTATCCAGAACCGGTCAGAACCTGCTGAATATCAACTCTGTTACAACAGCAAGCGTAATGAAAGGGAAACTAAGAGAAGTAACAAAGTAGTATTCATTATTTTCTAGGACTGATCAAAACAGTAACATCTTTTGGGTGGGAAATACATATTATATACATTCCTCCAGACACACAAGCCCAAATAACATTGTGAGGTAGATTGATCTATGAAACAATAGTTCAAAATCATCTAGAGAATTTCCACAGCATATAATGGACTTAAACCTCAGTCTTTCGCCAATATTTTAACTAATACAGGCGAGGCTGTCAAAGCACCTTTTGAATATAAAGCTACTGCTGAAAAGGGCATGAAACAAAACCCAGAAGACAAGACAGAGAATAATATGAATACCTTAAAGAGCTGATAAGCATAGATGTCATTCATATCTATGTTTACTATTCGTAACATGTTTTTGATCTCTTTGAAACTCATCTTATTGTCGTTGTTCTTGTCGGCTTCATGTAAGATGCCATGGATCCAGGTATGGCCTAATGTAAGGACAATGTAAAAAACTGGGAAGCATCTGCCTTAAAATTTAAATTCACTCTCCTTCTGTCTTACATATTTAATTTAAGAAAATTGTGAAGATGTGTCTTAATACAAATTCTTAAGAAAAAGGGAAGGAGTATTGGGGCACATTTTAAATGCAAGGTACAAAGATATCAGCTATCCACAAATATTTGATTGAGCAATTTCTATCTAATTTTTAGACATATGATTAAAATGTGTTTATCAGATTCAAGTTGTAAGAAAAGGAAGAATTTCTGTCCATATAACCTATTTCAGAAAAAATTAAATTACTGCTTCTAAAGCCAATAACTTCTCCTTTGTTAGGTAAGAGTTTTCAAATAGAGAATAGTTACATTCCAGCAAGATCACTGCCGTAGAATTACTTTGCTGATGCATTTTGGCCTTTGAGGCATAAATCAACTTTTGACTCTGTGGCCATTGCTCTACATACAGTATAATGGTATAACAGTATTTCCCTGCCATGGAAGATGCTACAAGATAGTAGGGGTAAGATGCTTCCTAATTCTATTTGCGTCTTTTGTGCATCACCCATGCACAGCAACCCATGAAACCAAATGTGGCTCTAAATCCCATTTCAAATATGGTACCATATGTATTTTTAAAACTCAAGCTGAGACACAGATTTTAAAAAGAGAAAGGAGGGTTTTGTATTGATTCAACAAAAACTTCCTTTCTCTTTTTAAAATCTATGTCTCAGCTTTAGGGGAAAATAATATCTATCACACTTCTAATTCTTTGCCGATATAGAAATAAAGGATATTGCTCAAGCTTTTCTTGCTGGTTCATGGCTTCACATCTGACCATCAGTTTTGTGAGTCCCCTCACCCACTGCTGGGCTTCAGTCCCAGTCCGAGCAGCCAAATCCAGGTTTTTCCGTTTCCCCTTGAAGACTATAGTGAAGCACTGCTCTTCTGCAAAAGAACCACCAAATTTCCGAAGTCCCTCAGATTGGTAACCTTCACGTACACTTTCAACATGGAGGATGGAGACTGAAAGACAAGGCATCAAAGGGAGTCATTCATGGAGAGAGATAAAAATAAAAAATATTCTAGGTGTCTCAACTCACCGAATACCTATCATTTTCAGTGAAAATATTTTCATTTGCCAAAAGAAAGTAGGGAAACATTATAGTTGCCTCGCACCATGGGATGAACTGTATATATATTTGATACATAAACAAAAAGTAGAGCATAGAATGAGCAGGCAAAAGACTCAAGATTCAACTCATACTCAGGAGCCGAGGNTAGATAGATAGATAGATAGATAGATAGATAGATAGATAGATAGATAGATAGATAGATAGATAGAGGGGGGAGGAAGGGAGAGAGAGAGAAAGAGAAAGGAGGAGGAGGAGAAATCAGGATGATCAAATGCAGGAAGAATGAATCAGGCTCCTGCACTTTTCCTTGTATAGAAGACAGAAATTGGCTATGTACACAAATTCCTGTTTAATACAGTAATTACAGGACTACTTGTCCAGTTTTAATATGCTTTGGGTCAACTTGAAGAATACAGAACAAAATACTAATAAGGAATAAAGTCACACTCTCGAGAAAAGATCCAATGGGATTTAAATATGAGATCTAGGGCCATCTGAAAGATATTTTTAGAAGAAGATACTCCTTACTTCTTACATTCCTTACTAAGTACCTCTTCTGTACATTCAAATGGGCACTGATCGTATACTGCTAGCAAAACTGAACTTGCTTGATTTATTGTTATACTAACCAAAGTTCCAGAGAAAAGCAATTATAGGAGTAAATCATGCTATAAAACTATCATATCATAAAATGAACCTAAAATGAACCTTGAACCATGCTGTTACACAAACTGGGACCTTGAAGCTTTAGGACTGAGTTTGCCCAGCTTTAAGGAGCTGGGCAAAGGTGACTTTTTTGCTTCTCTATTTCAAAATTGTCTAGAATTTTCTAAGAATAAAGAGGAAGTACTAGAGGTAATAGCTGCACTTTATATATGAGCTTATATCTGGCTCTTCATTCCCCTCATTTGTTTTGTCATGTAGGGTAGCAACACCTAAGTGACTCTAGTTGGACTAAAAATGAAGAAATAAACAGGTTCAGTGCTAATAAGTATTTCTGATACTAAATACTAAAAAGTATTTCTGATAAGCCAACCAGAAAATTCCAGGGCTATAAACTACATTAAAAAAAAACCAAAAATCTCAGAAGCTGACAGTGGCAGTAACACAAAGAAAAATACATGTAGCTACAAGTAGACAAGCTCAGGTCATAGAAGACTCTATTGTTATATTGCTGTGAGTAATTTTATTGTTAATTTTCTTATATAATACAATGGATTTAACTTATATATTAAAGATTGGTTGATCTACAGGCTGAATTTATCTAATTTGCATAAATGGCAGCAAGAATGCCGTTTAGGTCAGACTCCTACACCAGCAACAACATTGTCTCTGTGATACAGAAAGCGCAAGGCAGTTTTGCCATAACTTATTTTGATTTGCCAGTATGATAAAATATATTAAACACCATTTCCTTTAAAAATTCTGTTACTAATAAAATCTAGAATATTTTACATTAAAAAAAATAATTATAATATTTTGTTAGATTGTAGAATAAATATTTTTGTACAAAAATACAAAAGCAAATATTAGGACAAGATGAGGAGGGGAAGGGGAAAGAAAAGTGAGGGAGGGGGGAGAAAAAAAAGGCATTGACCTCTGGCCCCTCTGTTGCAGTAGAATAAAGCATTACCGTATTTTTCAGAGTATAAGATGCACCAGAGAATAAGACACACTAAGGTCTTGACGAAGCAATTTTTTTTTAAGTAGGTAGGTAGATAGAGGGAGAGAATGGGAGAGAGAGAGAAATACAGTAGGTTGGTAGGGAGAGAGTGGGAGAGAGAGTAGGTAGGTAGATAGGTAGGTAGGTAGGTAGGTAGGTAGGTAGGTAGGTAGGTAGGTAGGCAGATGTTTCCAGATGTAATTATCCATGTGCTGGAGAAGGAAATCGCTGACAATCTGCAGCACCTAAGACTTGTTTCTGCTGGCACAGCACTTGATCAATGTAATTCTCATCAATTATTAACTAAAGAGCTTTCCGAAAGGGAAAAAAAAGTTTTTGCACTCTGCAAACCTCCCAAAAAAGTCCCGTTTTTCATGAAAACGGGCCCTTTTTTTAAAGGCATGACTGGCCTTGGGGGGGGGGGGGGCTTGCAGAGTTCTCCTGGGGGA